ATTCTCCAGCCAGCTGGCTGGAGAATTCTGGGAGTTGAAGTCCACAAGTCTTAAAGTTGCCAAGTTTGGGAACCACTGGTCTATATTAAAGGTTTAGCTTTAGAAATAGGATTGCTCTTCTGTGTATAATCTCCTTTGATTATTTCATAGTATTTCTAAATAATTTAAGACTGTGTTCTGTATTTTATCTGAAGCCAAGCTACCTGCTTGGGAAAAAAATATTTGGATGCCATAATTCTTACTCAGCATATTTCAGTTCATGGTAAAGGGCACCATTCAAGGAACACTAAATGTTTGCCTACCATTATAGGCCAAATTGCCTAACACCAGAGTTCTTTCTTTGGATCTTTGAAAGCTGAAATAGAACCAGAAAGCATGTGTTTCAAATCCTTTACCTTGGCAAGGCCAACCTCAAACTTTTCTTCCTGAGAATAAAGGATAGGAGTTTCTGGACGACTGGTACGAATGAAGCATATTCCCTAAGGAGCAATATGGAAGAAGAATATGAATACTCAGAAGAAGAAACAGAGATCTTACCAAAATTAAACATTATAGAACTCAGAATGGTTTTAGATAATTGTATTAAAATGTTATCTTAAAAACACAGCAATATAAAACATGCCAGATTTATGCAAAATATCTTAACCACTTTTTAGGGCAATGCTATCATAGAAGGATATATAATTCAAGTAAGGAATGAAAGATACCACACTGGAAATATATAAAGAATACCCCAAGGAACTATTCACAAAATATATATTTTAATTACAATCTCAAATCAAAAATAAAATTGACAAAAACATTAGGATGCCAACCAGTAAGAAGGTACATTGATTTGGAAATGTTGCTACAGCCTTAATCAGCTTGTGAAATTCTGGCCACTTAAGGGATTCTGTAAAGTATGTATCTAGAATGTATGTAGTTAATGCTTAATAAGGTTTTACAATTGTTACAACTTTTGTTTTTTGATATATGGATGTATTTGTTGACTGTTTAATATGGCTCTGCTGTTACCTTGATATATTATTATGAATTTAACTTTTGTAAAATGCTTAGATTTGTTTTCAAATGGTGTAAAACAGCTTGAAATAAACAAATGAAATAGCCTGCAAGAAAATGAGGGCCAGGGTAAAAGAAAATGCTATAAGCAAGAAGCTTTATTGCAAATTGTGACTTCTTACTCTAGCACACCACAATTTACTTCCCCCAATTTAATGATAATACCTCAATCTTGATAGACCAAGGACAATACCTAAGATAATATCCTTTACCCACATACCTTGGTGTTTGCTGCCAAAGAAACAGCATACTCAGTGGAGACTGCATCACTTGGATAAAACACCGTACAACCTGGAATAGTTCTGAACATGGCTAGATCTTCTAAAGCCATCTGAGAGGGCCCATCCTCTCCTGGGATGAAGAGAAGGAGTTGAATAAATATCGTGCCATGTCACAGAAAAGAATGCATTCAAGCACTATGCCATGCATTTGAGAGGATGAATACCCCAGCCATATCTCCCAATATTAGGCCACTGAGATTTAGCATAGAATTGCTTAATTTGGTCTTTTATGAAAACTATAAAAGGCCAATCACATCATTTACAAATCAAAATCTCTCTTTAAGGTAGAGCTAGCTGAGTTCGGGCATTTGGTATTCTGAGTAGATGAACAGCAAAGAGAATAAAGCAGAAATCCCCAAATACTCTGAAAGCACTCCATCTAAGCAATTTCTGCTTTCCCTATACATTATTAGACTATTAGCATTAAACCTTAAATATAATTAAATTGAATTATTATTAATAACCAGTCTTCACTTCTTGTGTACAGCTGCCATAAACATAAAAGGAGATTTTTTCCTAGGATTAGCATGTTGTATGTGGACTACTAAAGCCAACATTATTTCACAATTTGGCATTCTGCCCAAGCAGCTGATTCCCAAATACGTATGTTCAAGATTACTGAAAGGAAGAAAAACCAAATGAACTGGGGAAAACTCAGGATTCCTTGCTATATCATACTCTTGATCTTCAGTTAATAACAATGTTCTGTTTTTAAATATCTTGATTAACTGCAGGCTATGCAAATAAACAGAAAAGTGCCAGCTTGGTCATCATAGTCAAGAAGACTATAAAGATTTACCGTATTTTTCAGAGTATAAGACACACCGGAGTATAAGATGCACTAAGATTTTGAAGAGGCAAATTTTAAAAAAAGTTTTTGCACTCTGCAGACCTCCCAAAAATAGCCCATTTTTCACAAAAATGGGCCCCTTTTTGTCAAAAAAGGGCATGCATAGTCTTCTAGGAGGCGTGTAGAGTGCTGCTCTACAAGGTGGCCAAGGTGGCGC